AAACGCGACCAGGAGCGTTGGAAGGAATAGACATGCTGTTCTACGAAGTTGCTTACCCCGTTACTGTAGTTATCTATGCTGCGTACAAAATAGAGGAGCCAGACGTTAGAAGATTGCAACCGATGAGACATCCTGGTAACCGCGTCGCCAAATTAGTCAGGGAATTCTTTGAGGATTCTTCCCGCGGCGGAAATTTAACTCTGAAAAGGAAAGAAGCCATAAGGAAATGGGAGCTTGTTACCCATAGGGCCGGAGCAACCATAGATAACATCAAAAAGCTAGAAGTCCTCTAAGAAAGGCGCATACACGTAAAGGATATCACAGACGGGTACATTTACCCCGGGACACATAAGTACGGAGGCCGTGGAGCTCCCATAGTCATCTATCAACATAACGGACACGCTTGGAGAGAGTTAAGATTCCCCAGAAAAAAGGAGACAAAAGTATATGAATCCTCCCCATTGACGGACTTGATCCACGAGAATTCGATATGGTTAATGGACGCAGAAGGAAGTCAATTTATGACGCAAGATGGTACCCTATACCGCCCAGAAGTAGAACACCAACGTATCCAAAGTGCGTGCGAGACTTTAGGAGAAGATTTCTCAGATGAAGTCCTCAGCTCCCGCAGTTTGGACTTCTTAGCTGCCAAGAAAAGGAATGGATGGAGACCAACTCCTAAAGAGTTTGGAGACATTTCTAAGGCGTGCGTAGAACACGGCCACGGTGGTCTTTGGAATATGGAATACGACGAAGAAGAATACGTGTCGCTTGATATGAAACATTGCTACCCTGCGTCATTCAAGGGCCTAGGAGATTGTAAGGAATATTACGACCGCTACGGACACCCCGAWTCGCAGTTCTTTCGCGTTGCCTTAGATGGTCATTACGACGCGCCAGCTACGGGGTTTGTTAGGGTGACCAGTTGGAAGTTAGCCAAAGGCCTGCATCCAATCATTTACGCTTGGTATGGGAAACATTTACAAGAGAAAGAATGGATTTCGGTGCCTTTGTTAAAGTTCCTCGAAGAGCGCCAGTTACTCGCATACACAGCGCATGAAGCCATCCTGTGCCATAGCGTCTTTACAAAGTGGTTACCAGATCATAATCCTACCGCGAGGATTGTCATAGGAAAGTTCACCCAGGGCGCCAAGGAGGCCGAGAAACATATGCAGCGTCGTTTGATAACAGACGCAGGCGAACTAAGCTTCCTCATAAAACGTGCTCATGAACAAGGAACGATGGTATCTGTGGAGAAGTGGGACTACCTAGTAGAAGGCGAGGAGACACGCAAATGGAATGCTTTATGCTACTACCAGGATCATCGACCACAGTATTACCATCTGCGTGCCAGCATGCTCGCATACGCGCACATTAACCTCTTAGCAATGCTCCTACGGTTCGACAAAGAAGACGTTCCGCGCGTAGCTACGGATTCCTTATACGTGAAACCGCACGTCTTAGAGAAAATGAAAGAATTCTACACTGCAGATGAGTTAGCAGAAAGTGGACAATGGCGCGTCAAAGATGAAGAAATCAAAGCTTGGATAGGCCGCGTAGAATATCACGGCGATCACGTAAAGGGACGCGTAGAACCAACCGAGGATCTACTTCCTTCAGTTGCCGACCCCATTTCCTA